GACGGCCGAAGGGGGGGGGAGTTGATGAACTTTTGTGTGAATAGCATGGTAACTCACATATCGCGAACCCGATAACTTATGTACCCCATCCTGGTAACTTTGGCAACAGGGAGGGGGGAGGGGAGTTGATGAAATATCCCCTCGGTAGCTTTTGTATCAATAGCATGGTAACTCACACATTGTATATCTGATAACTTATGTACCCCGGTCATGGTAATTTTGGCGACGGGGGTGGGGGGTTAGAATTGATGAAATATTCCTTCGGTAACTTTTTGTGTGAATAGCATGGTAACTCACACACCGCAGACCTGATAACTTATGTACTCGGCCCTGTTAACTTTGGTGTCCGGGATGGGGCTGGGGAGTTTTTAAACATATCATGGTAACATATGTGCAAATAACATGATATTTTACATATCGAGGACATGATAACTTATGTACACCACATGGTAACTTTGACCCAGGAGAAAAAAATAGTTGAAACATACCACGACAACTTTAGTAAATAGCACGGTAATTTACGGTCCATGATCCTCTTAACTTTACACATGAAACACCGTGATAACTTGTTAAAACTCGAAGCAAAAATTCATGAAACATACACACGTGAACACATTTTGTAAAGCCACCTATCCTAAAGAATCCTAAAAAAATAAAAGGTCATAGAGGAGCCCCTCTATACATTCACATGGTATAGTACATCATTATTTATGTAGTGGAATAAAATTTAGGAAAATACCTTAATTTTTGTCATCTAACAATGGTGGGAAAGAGTTTTAAAAGATTTTGTTTTCATAATTAAACAACAGTGTAGGTTGGTGTAATACTTTTTTTCTCAATTCGTGTTTTTTATTATTGTGAAACTAATCGATCGGGGGAGAATGGGAGAAGCGGGAGCCATTGAGGACGATCGTCCGCACCTGTCGCTAAAATCCTGCCGTTTGGAAGTTAGTCGCGCCCTATAGAAATTAAAAATCCCACGTCAGTCTTTGGCGTTTTCGAAATCGTCTTTCTCTTGCACTACCGACAACACAAGGTGAGCAAAGCTCGATGTCCCCTTCGGACCTCTCAAAACTATCAGATCTAGGGAAACGTTGTTGACATGGTGGTAGGGAAGTCATTGGCCGGAGCCATAAGTTGCCGGCGTAGCGATCTTAGAAAAAATTCGCCGCCCCTGAGAAGAAGCAACGAAGAGGGCTAGCCAACCATCCCAGATCTGTCCAAACATATCCAGGGAGACATACCATCGCAAGCTTCGAGCCGTCGCCATGCTGCCTAAATGTTATCGGTCAGAGAAGGAGTCAGAGGACAAATACACGAAGTAGCAGTTTTCGCTCCATCGAAAGACATTTTCGAAGACTACCTACATAACACTAAAACACAGTAGGATCCGCCACTCCAGAAGTACAACGACTAGATGATATCACACCCTCCTCTACACCTGTGACG